AGGACGAAGACTTGTTAGATGGTCAAAACAAGGATTCAGTGGGAGAATTGAGTGAAAGCATGTCTCTAGGAGGATGTCTTTCAGCTAGTGGGAGTAACATAAGAATCACCTCGCACAAGCAAGTGATTCTTATTAAAGAAAAGGATGACATGGTTTTCATTGCTTCTGCACCCACTTCTCTTTCTCTGGAAACACTTAAGAGTGTAGCACCAGAAAACTCTTCGAACATTGGATAGTCCAATGACGTGCACTTTGTCGTGAAGTGCACTCAAAATATTTTATCAATACAACACTAATACGTAGTATAGCGAAGTAAAGTTTGTATCCACAGGGAAAGGAATACTTTTCTTTTATATAAATAGTAACAAGGGGGGGTTCAGTTTGATTTGATTTAATTCAATTAACACTAAGATAAACAACCTATTTGAGTTTAACTAATAGATGTGGAGGCTTGGTTTTGCTTTTATCCACTTAATGAAATGTTCGTCGATCCCGGTTATATCTTTTACTATCTTCCTCTCGAATACTCAATCGAGGAGTATATCCAGTTCATCGAGGGTAGTTATTAATAACGAGATGCGTTCATTAATAAAATTTACTATCGAGTCAATATAGAGCAAGCGCCGTATATTAACTTGATAGTAGCAATAAACTTAAGATGAAAACGATTGAGATTGATAATCTCAACACAAGCGGTTTATTGGTTTAATCAATATAATTAATTCCCCTTGGCATATTAACCATGAGATGCATGCATTAATATTCCAAGTTTACTACCGTTGAAAGAACTGGATTAATAACAAGCGTATTAATCGATTGATTCTAGTAATAAGTAATATGAGAAACAAAACTAGTTAATACTTTAAGTATTGTTTAAAATATTAACATGAAATATGAATAGGAATTAATTAATACTCAAGGAAGAATATTAAAGAATATGAATCCTACTATGATTAACATCAAGATGTTAACTAATTGTCATCTTAGTAACACTCCCCAATATTAACATAGAGGAAGAAATAACTATTACTATAATCAATGTCAAGATGTTAACTAATTGTCATCTTAGTAACACTCCCCAACTTTGATATAGAAATAGTATTTGAAAGGAAGAATTAATATTCAAGGAAGAAGATTAAAGAAAATAACTCACAACTTACAAATTCATTAAGCTTCAAAGTAGCAAAACCAAGATGGAAGAGTTTAGCTCCTCATTTGGAGACTAAACATGATGAAAAATATAAAGAAAAAACTATTCTATACTGAGCTTAGATGTACAAAGGAATTGGATGATCATTTGTGAAGGAAAGGGAGTGTATTTATAGGCTTTTGGGATGGGATTCGGGTACTCGATCGGGTATATACATGGTACCCGATCGAGTATGTGTGTAATACCCGATTCGAGGTATACTCGATCGGTCTCAGGCTATTTTCCAAAGGTATACCCGATCGGGTATATGTTTATACCCGGTCGTGTATGCTTAGAAAGTGATATTCGAACCATACTCGATCGATTTTCGTTTAAAACTCAAAGGCATACCCGATCGGGTATGTCGGTTTACCCGATCGGGTATAGACATTTAATCGTGGCTGACATCTTCCAGGCATGTTCCCTTGTCTTCGGATCTGATCCGATTTGAAGTTTCAACCTAATACCCGATCGAGTATAGGTAATACTCGACCGAGTATAGACCAAAATTTCAGGATCCTTCTTTTGTCTTCAAATTATGCACCTTCCTTCCACTTTTTGGGTTCACCAACTGTACTTTGAGTGATCAAGACCTGTTTGAGCTCAGAATATACCTAATCTAAACTATTTACAAGAATTTAACAAGCTAATCTTTTACACCAAAAGTGTGTAATTTCCCAAGTAAAGATCAAGCAAAACTAATTAAAAACACAAACATATACATGGAAATTACAAACGTATCAACTCCCCCACACTTAGTTTCTTTACTCGTCCTCGAGTAAGATCAAATGTTCACAAGTGTCAAGTTTTTCCAAAGTTTCCACAGTTTAAACAACATACAAACACAAAGACCACCAAGGATAACAAAAATGAGTTTTAAACTCAAATTACAAAGAACATCTTGGGTTTTACGGCCTTCTAGTGTTTATCTTCTCTTCTCCTCCTCTCTTCCTCTTCTTCTTTGTTTTCTGAATCTTTTTATTCTTCAAAGAGATACAACGAGTGCCTGCAAAAACAAACATTTCTCTCATATCTCTCATTTTGCCTAGGAGCCTTTTCAGGTTTTCATCCTAGCATCTCTTTTCATTTTCCATTCTTCCCAACTCACTCATTTTTTTATAAGCCTTTTTTGCTTAGATTGCCCATTTTGTTGGGTTTTCAACCTAACTAGCATTTCTTTTCTTTTATTTATTCTCTTTTGTTTTTTTTGTGTGTAAAACGTTCAAAAGAATTACATGCATAGTGCGAGGTGGAAATTAAAATTACATACCATGATGAGTCTCTCCCCCGCACTTGAACCAAGCACTGTCCCTAGTGCCCGCCTTCTCCGCCGTAGTAACTGCCTCCGAAGCCGCTCCCCTGCCCACCATCTCCCATATATGTGTCCCCGCCATCTCCGCCGTCGTACCCTCCACCCCCGGAGCTAGATCCTCCAAAGTTACCCCAATGAGTGGGGTCATACCACGAGAGTGGTGGAGGGGGGTTCGCCATGGTATGAAAAGATCCATGTTGTGCCATGTAAGAGTACATAGGTCCGTAGAACCTACGTTGGTCTTCTTCATACTGATGCCTATCGGCTTCCCAGAGCTCCTCCAAGCGCTGAAAACCGACCCTTTGCTCCTCCTGTATTTGGTTTAGCTGGTTGTCCATAGCAAAGTAGTTCGCGTTCATTTGAGTGTACCCCGTAAGCAATTGTTGTTGACCCTCCAAAAGTTGTTGAAAGAAGTCGGGTGGTGGAGGGTTTTGGTTTTGTTCGGGGATGTCATTGTCCATGTCTTGATGGCTATGGGGTTGAGCATAGAGCTCGTAATCGGGTTGGTATTGGGGAGGTTCTTGCTCCGGTTCTTGGAGATGTGGTGGAAGGGCGTGTGGGAAGAGGTAATGGGGCTCCTCTACTGCTTCTCTGTAGCGGAATTTGGGGAGTTCTTGGTTGGGTAGGAGGAAGTATTTGAGAGGTTTGGGGAGTATGCGCCAGTTGTACATATTTTTTGGTCTTTCTCCACCATAAATTGTGTGGGAAAAGGCTGTACATCCCGAGTGGCCCAACCAAGAGATGTTCATCAAACAGTAGTCGGGTATAGGAGAGTTATCTGTATACCCGAACTTGGTGGCTAAGTGCATAATCACCCCACCCACAACAATAGCGCCCTTGGCTACACTTTCCTTTTTCAGATGTGCCCACATAAGATTGCACAGATTGAAATCCACGTGAACACGGAATAAGGCCACAGACATTAGGCATACATCCCCCATCCTAGTGTGATGGTTGTTGGGACGTCCAAGCAAGCAATTGGCAAGGAATTTCAAGAATAAGTGGAGGACGGGATGTTGGACATGACTAATATACAGTTGGGAGGAGCTAAATTTAGTCTCCCCGGTCATCTTTGTCCATAGGGTATGGCCGAAAGTGGTATTATCGGATATGGATTTTTGGTAGGGGACTGGAATACCAAAATGTTCGGCGAACTCAAGTTTCGTTATGGAGTGGTTGTTGTTAAACAGACGAAACTTGAGTTTATCATCTCTAAAATCAGCTTCATCGGTCTCAAATTGCACCGAACTCATGAATTCATAGATTATTTTTTCATTAGAGTGATATTGCATTTTGAATATCCTATCCATGCTCAACTCATGAAAAAATTTACTAGTGCTTTTATACACTCCTAACTCATTGAGGGCATCATGGCATAAAAAACGAGAGGGTTTTACTTGCCTTGCAATGGTGGAGATGAAGCGGGTTCGGTGTTCGTTGTCGGCGAAGATGATGTCCTCGTAGCCTGGGATGGATGCCATAGTGTTGGAGCTCTGCCCTTTAAAGGCCCAAACAATTGGTGCCCTTGATTTTGTAATATTGGACGGATGGGATGAATTTGTATTTTGTACGGGAAGCATACTTTGTATCCGATCTTATCCCTATATATATATATATATATATATATATATATATATATATATATATATATATATATATATATATAGAACTTATCATGTTCGAACGTTCGGACAGGAGGCACCTTTCGAACATCGCCGTTCGGGGCGGTTTCTAGTGGAATTTTTTGATGAAATTTTAATGGTATGTTCTTCATCAAGTCTAGTTTATCCACAAAAAATTTTAACTCAAAATTCGTTTAGGAATGCCTTCAAATCATTTTATGAAGTTGACTGCGTTTTTCTATGTATAATTTGGCGCAGTCAACTTCAAAAAATCATTTGAAGACTTACCCGATCGAATTTTGAGCTGATTTTTTTTGTGGATAAACTAGACTTTATGAAAAACATACCATATAAATTTCATAAAAAACTCCGACCGGGAACCGCCCCGAACGGCGGTGTTCGGACGGAGGCCCTGGTCCGAACATTCGGACCTGATCATTTGTGTATATATATACTCCCTCCGTCCCATAAATTTTTTCCCATTTTCCTCTTTTGGCCGTCCCAAAAAAATCTTCCTACTCACCATTTTTAGACAATTTGTGTGGTTCACATTTATTTCACTTTTTTCTTATACATCTACAACCACACATTTCCACTTTACTCCACTTTTTTATTCTCCGTGCCAAATCAAAGTGGGAAGAATTTTCTGGGATGGAGGGAGTATTACAAGTTGTTCAATGTTCGATTCGATTTACAGTCTTTTGATTTTAAGCCAGACCAAATTATACCATTCAATTTGAGCAAATTGCTACCCAATGGTTAGCTTAAGTAAACTCAAATCAAACCAAACACTAATTTTTTATCCGATTTAATCAAACCAAACCATTTTGCCTTATCCTATTTTAATATCATCCCCTCTCAATAATGTGCTCTATAGTTAGTGCCAAGCTCAGTTAAGACTTGAGAGCCCCACTCTTTTTTCTACTGAAATACGGAGTAGAAATACTTACTTGAAGACATACAAGATTGGATTGGGGAGATTGAAAAAGTTTGAGGTGTTAATATAGTTTTTGAGTACTCCATGAAAATAGGTCGGAGCTCAAAAAGACGCGAATTGATTTCAGCGGTGGCGCTGCTCCTAGTCGTCTTAGCTGCTGGCCAAATTCAGGATGGTATTTGCCCCTGGTCTCATCACTCCCTATTCGACTCTTTTCCTCATTTCAATTGCATTTCTAGCTCCAAGGTTATAATCAACGTCATCTTCTTGTGCTATTTATTGGTGGGATCCGCTAAAGTTCTGTTTTTTGTTTTGCTAAAGTTCTGTTTTCTAAGTATATTTTTATCAGATTAATTCAGGTTCTTCCACCACTTACAAGAAGTTATGATATAACGAAATTTTTTGTGTTCTGAAATTCTGTAAGGTTGTTCATGTAATCTTGTTATTGACGTTCTTGGATGGTGAATGATAAGTAGTAATCAGACGTGGTTTGTGATTATACTTTACGATAATAGCCTTCTGATATTGTTTGCACCATAGGGCCACCAGTTTTCCCTTAATTCTTTCTTTCTTTCGTTCTCTTTTCCAAGGGAATTTAGTAGAGAACTGGAAAACATAGGCTGCTTTTTGTCTATGCAAACATAATGTTTCTCTTTCAGATCCTTACATAAGAAATTGCCATAAATAGGAGTAAAAATATTGTCAAATTCCAAAAGAGGAGTTATATGTATTTCTTCCATAAATAGGTGTAGTTAGTGTCACCTTTGGAAAATATTGCCAAATATTACCCCTATAACATGGATTGATTGATTGCACTCATAGTGCAGTGCTCTCAATGAATTTCTTGGATCATTAGGCCTTAGGAGTAATATATCTGCCACAATCATGGTTCATGGAGACCTGCCATGCTGATTAGAATCATCTTCTTGACTTAGCTACCACCTTATGTTTCATTAATGATTTTTTTTGTAAAAAAAAAACCTTTTTCTTGTTTGATATTACACTGCACTAAAATCCTTGGAATTAAAATCGAACTCTTTAATAAGAGTTACTGAATAATCATTTTCCAGAAAATATGACAATGATACAAGACCATCTCTAAGCAGATTAATGTTGTGTGTTTGACTAATTTTGTATTTACTTAAAGGAGTAATAATCAACATAAGAAATACCTTAATTTATTTAAGTTCTATATAAGGTTAGTATTCACTATGTCCCCTTAATATAGGAATCTTGTCATTCTATGATAAAGAATGACATGATAAAGATGGCTGCCTAAGAAATCAATCTTGAATTTGGGTAGACATATATATTGTTAAGAGGGCTTCCTTAGGTGTTTAAATTATTGGAGTGTGCGTATGAAATTTGTATATAATATTCTGGCCTTTTTTATGATTGAGCGATAGCTTATAGAGTTATAGGCTTATAGCAGATTGTTTTAACTTTTTTGGCTACCTAATGGTCCTAATAGATTTAGCAGTTTCAACCATAAAGAAATCTAATAAGTAAAATTATCTCTTTGGTGGAAATAAAAATAAATGAGGTAAAAAAGTAAAATGATACATTTTTTAAACTGTGTATTTTACTTTAGGAGCAGACTTCGTGTGCATTTGTACTTCACTTCATAAGGTATATTTGGTTCCTAAGCACTCCAAGAGAAGAAAAAAACAATGCTGAGATAGTTATTATTTTGCGATTGGCTTTACTATAGGACCTGCAAAATAAAATGAAATATGATCACTTTTTTAAAAGAAAATTCATGTACTTCAAATTTTTAGTCTTTTTACAATAGAAATAAGTAAATAGCGTTTAAACATGTATAAAAAACAAATGTATTTACTGAATAAATTTAAGAAATTCATGTACTTTGATTTCTTGGTCATTTTACATTAGAAATAAGCAAAACAGTGTTTGAACCAATGATTAATTTCCCACACATTTGCATCAAATTTTCCCCTTTAAATCTCTCCCTGTTTTTTACGTAGCATTTGGGTTCCAAACAGACCAATAGAGATCGTCAGATCAATGAAAAGTTAGCTGAAATGGTTCTTAGTTCTTCCAAAGATTGGGCAAGAAATTTTCAGTCCAAGTTGTGACCATCCTTAAGTCCTATGGTAGTATTCTTCTTCACTGTGCCTATAGCTGTGATAGAGCAAATCTGTGCTATTGGTAGAGTTAATTGCAAGTGGGACTCGCAACGGAGGAAACATGAATTGGACTAAATAGCTATTAAGATTCTTTTATCTGTAAATCTTCAGATTTGTTGTTAGTTCAATACTACATATATTTATCGTCAAAAGTAGATGTCAGTGGTAGTGTGATATTTGTTGCTCTCTATTATGAATTAATTTAATTTGCTCACTGTACAATTTAGGAAACATTTGTAATTGGCATTGGGAAGCTAGTCATTATTAGATCCAAAGAATGTTTTTGTGCATAACTCCACTTTTGGTGCATGACTGAATTTTTGACACTTTTGTACTTTTTGGTAACTTTTCCAGAGAAAATCAACGGGAAATTGTATTTAAATTGATGAGATATTTGTCAAAAGGTCCATAAGTGACCAAGAAACTATAGTAATGGGATCAAAATTGAAAAGATAAAAGTTAGGGACCAAAAATGAGAATGTCCTAATACTTATGGGACCAAAAGTGGACTATTATCTTATAATTGGCGTGTTACTTTTATTTTTCTGAAAACTCCAATTTTTCCAGTTTCGGGCCACTGGTATGCCTTCTTTGCACATAAAAATTAACTGGAAACTAGTGAGGTAAGTGATCCGAAGGACAAAAAGTGCCAAAGAGTCCATGTCTGAGGATTAAAAGTGGGGATGAGTTCATAATTGAGGAAATTAACGTGATATATTTTCTTATAGTGCTCTTGCATGCTGCTTTCATGTTGATTGAAAAACCACATAGAAAATATTTTGGCAGATGTTACTTGCTCTTACCTCACCGTAGGTGGGGAGCCTTTGAGGGGTCAAGGGTAATGTTGTTGTTTTTATTATTATTACTAGCTCTTACCTCCCATCCCTTGCAGGTCTTCTAACCAACGGTGATTTTGAGATATCTCCATCTGGAGGATTCCCTTCAGATGTCAGATTCTCAGATGAACCTGCCAATATCCCCAACTGGATAACCAATGGAACTGTAGAGCTCGTCGAGTCGGGTCAAAAGCAAGGCGGGATGATCCTCATCGTCCCACAAGGACGACACGCCGCAAGGCTTGGAAACGATGCCGAAATAAGTCAACAAGTCAAAGTTGAGAAGGGCACAATCTATTCGATCACATTCAGCGCAGCCCGCACTTGTGCCCAAATAGAGTCACTCAATGTCTCTGTTCCCCCGGTATCACAGATTATAGACCTGCAGACCCTTTACAGCGTGCAAGGATGGGATACTTACTCGTGGGCTTTTCAGTCTGGAGAAGAGAATGTTAGGGTTGTTTTCAGGAATCCTGGCATGGAGGACGATCCAACATGTGGACCTATCATTGATGATGTTGCTATGAAGAAGCTTTTCATTCCCAACAAGCCCAAAGGTTGAAAAACTCATTTCCACTTGAATCATTCCTTATATCCACATCACGTTGTCTTTTTTGGGAACCTGCCGACCTCTCGAGCCTCTAGTGGCTTACATCATCCGCCCCTGACTAAGGCTGGCTCTACAGAAAGGGTGTTAAGCCACTTTACAATGGCCAAATAGAAATATGTACGAAGCAATATATAAGGCATTGGATTATCTCACCTATCAACGTTGACATTTTAGGACAGGTTTACTCTTATAAGTTACCATGTTGTGGGATATATTTACAAATGTAATTATACAAATCAACATATAAGACTCGAGGTTATTCCATGTATCACATTATGCTTTTAGGATGGAACCACAAGTTTTAATGAAGGCAGATAGAGAGTATTGGATTCACTAGTGTTATTTGCAAATTAGAGTTATTAGCTTACTAATCCGTTCATCTACGTACCATTCCTGCAGACAACCCAGTACTCAATGGGGATTTTGAGTCGGGCCCATGGATGATGAGAAATGAGTCCTTAGGCGTTCTTCTCTCCACCAACCTCAACGACGAAACCTCACCTTTGCCTGGATGGATTGTGGAATCAAGCAGGGCGGTCCGATATATAGACTCATACCACTTCAGAGTTCCCGGAGGGAAACGCGCAGTAGAGCTATTGTCTGGAAAAGAAGGCATCATATCCCAGATGGTGGAAACCAAGCCAAACAGGCCATACATGATGACATTCTCGCTGGGCCATGCTGGAGACAAATGCAAGCAGCCATTGGCAGTGATGGCCTTTGCGGGTGATCAAGCTGAGAACATCCATTACACTCCCAACTCCAACTCCACTTTCCAGACTGCTCATGTCAACTTCACGGCCAAAGCCGAGCAGACACGGATTGCGTTCTATAGCATTTACTACAATACGAGAACCGATGATATGAGTTCTCTTTGTGGTCCTGTTATTGATGATGTGAAGGTTGAACGATCAAAGTCCAGCAGAGTGAAGCCTGCAAGCTTAGGGTTGTTTTTCGGCTTAGGATCAGGACTACTTGTTTTGTTCATGTCTTATGTTTGAAAGGTTTATAGTAGTAATTAAATAGCTAAATAAAATGCATGTGTCCAAGTGTTTAGCATGGAGATGACGGTAAAACCATGCCCCATGGCATGTCTAACGTTGTATCACTGATTAACTGTTATGTGATTTTTGTGCGAAATTTTTTCATGGGACTTAGGTACCCCAAACTCCCAAAGTGCCGGGGAAATGAAAGAAATGATTAGGAAATTTTATATTTTGTTAGATTTTGCCTCTGAAAATGTTGAGGAAAATGGAATAAAATTGTGGTTTGTTTATATTTGTTTAGATATATAGAAATTAGTTCAAATAGGACTAAAACTATGACAAAAACCTAAAATAGGACTTGCTATGTTTTTATTCCAAAATAGGACCATATGAGTCCTATTGGAAACATACCTATTTTTGCATTCCATTCTTACCCTTCCATTAAATATGAATTAAAAATAGTCAAAAGCCATAATTAAATGTTTAATTCTTAATAAATTCGAAAAAAATTCAAAAATTCGTAGAAATATAATTAAAAAATTTATAAAATTTTTATAAAATAAAAAATTCAAAAACTTTTTTTTTAAAATAATTTTATTTTTAAAAAAATTAATAAAAAATAGTAAAACTCCGTAAAAAAAATTTAAAAAAATATGGATGCCTTTCCCACCGCCTGTACTACCTCCCAGCACCACCATCTCCGGCCGATGAAAAAAATGCCATTTTTCCAGAAAAATGCCATTTTTTTCTGAAAATGCCAAAAAAGTGGCATATTTCTCTTTTTGAATGCCAACATTTTCATTTTTTCTGCCATAAATATGGCATTCGTAATGAACTTGGCATTTTTTCCCCTGGTGACTGGAGGTGGTGCTGCTGAGGCGGCAGAGGCGGTGGCGATTTTTTTTTTGAATTTTTATTTTTTATTTATTTATTTTTTATTTTTTTTAATTTTTTGAAAAAAAAAATTAATTAAATTTTTAATATCGAAATGTTTTTCTTAATTTTTTAGTAGTTTTTACGAATTTTTATTATTTTTTATTATTTTATTAGGAATTAAATCATTTTAATAGCTATAAGGGTATAATTGTCCAAGGTACACATAATTAGTCCTATGCAAACATAGTTTATTTTTTGGTCCTATTTGTGAAAAGTGAATGACTTTTAGTCCTATTTTGATAATTAACTCTTAGATATATTATTAGCATTACTCTCTACATCCCATTTTTTTTGGCTAAATTTACTTTTCTTGGTCAATGATAATGAATTTTGAATAATGATTTTTGTTATTACGTTTGTGCGAAATTTATAATTTTAAGAAATTGTCTTAAATAAGATTAAAACATGGTTAAAAATCTCAAATAGGACTTTAAATTTTATACTACGTATTCTCTACTAGGGATGGACCGGGGTCAGGGTCGGGCCCGGACAGTACCGTTTTTGAAAAAGTGGAGCCCAGTGGCCGGTACTGACTTGATATGCTCCGGTACCGGGTCGGTACCTAGCCATTTAATTAAAAAAATTAGAAAAAATAGCTAGTGGGCCCGGGTCGGGCCCAAAAAATCAAACCCGAAGCCCACCCCTTGTAACCATCGGGGCGGTACCGGTCCTAGAAAACTGGGCCCAGGACGGTACCAATAGTACCGGTCCCGGGTCGGGCCACCCGGGCCTAGTCCATCCCTATTCTTTACATAGGACTCCAAATTACATTTTTACCCGTAATCATCAAATCATCGCCTAACTGTTGTCGAATCCTCTGTTTTCTCCTTCTTTCTATTGATGTGTTAATAACTTTTCAAATTCTAAATAAAATTTTAATTAGGAAATTCCAAATGAAGAGCAATATTTCTATGAATGACAAGTAACAAGAAACATACTCCATTTTATTAATAAAATCCGGCAAATGTTCCCCGACATTTGTCCCACTGGGGTGGTTTGCTACCGAGCTTAAAAAAAAAGTAACAAGAAACATAAAATATTTGAGTCAGAATTTTTATTTACTTATCAATTTTGATTACTTTGGAATATAAGAATGTCATAACTCATAACTACTAGTTATTTAAAAAAATGCCACTTTTCAAATTTGAGAATGCTAGAGTTTTAGAAAAAATGTCACTTTCATGACATTATATTTATCAAAATGGCAATATTGTTTTTGACTTGTTTGCCTAATGATGTCATTTTTATGAGACTAATAAACGTATAAAAATGTCATTTCAAATATGATGATTAAACAATTTTCTACGAAAAAGCCACAATGATGAATATGAAATTGAATTTATTTTTTTCCGAAAAATCTTTATTTTTGTAGCTGAACATGTCATGCATGCTTTTATACAAAAATGTCATTGTTATGTGATTATTCTTATCAAGATGATAAACTCGCAGGAGGTTTGCAGTGACTTGTCGGAGGACGGTGGCTTTGTCTGGGACGATGGCTTCGTCGGAGGATGGTGGCGGCGCACTTGCTTGAGTGTGGAAGAGGCGTAGACCGTACAATGAGGCCCGGTGCTTACACTCATGGCACTGTCGAGCTAGCACATGGAAGCTTGGTAAACTTAATTTTATTTTATTAAGGTTAATTTTGTCATGTTAGTACATTTTTAGTCTAATAAAACATAGAAGTCTTGTTTGTGCATATTTAAATGGACCATATTTTTGAAAAAGAAAAATAAGATAGAGAAGAAGTTTCCTGAACTGATGAAAATGATCCAAAACGAGAAGAGTCTATATATCCAAACAATAAGATCTCATTGAGGTAGTGAATTTGTGAATCAAGTAATAGTTCAATACCATTGTTAAAGATATTATTGTATTGTGATCTATGTATTTTATCTAGCCTTGTAGTTTAATTAATTAGATATGCCATTTATGGTAAAGGCCATATTCCTAAAATGGAATGGGCCTCCTTGGAATAGGAGCCCAATGATATGTAACCTATCCCATTCTCAAAGGCTATATATATGCCACTTTGAAAATGGAATATGAGAGGCTTTTCATTCATTCATTCCCTGCACATAGACTAGAGAGAGGCTACGGAAGTTCTACGCTAACATCTCCTTCATCCTTGTGTAAACTTTCTGAGCATCTAATGAAAAACTTCCTCTACACCTACTCTTATCCATCTTCATAGATCATTGTAGTGTAGATAACGGGGACCAACATTTGGTATCAGAGCGGGACTGATCGAACGATTGAAGCAAAGAAGAAAAAGCTTGCGCAAAACTTCATCGGTTGTTTTCTTCTCACGAGCGATTTGCATATTGTTCCTGTTTGATGTTTTTGCAGGAAAATGTTTACAGGTTTATGCTTATGTGATTCATATCATCCCCTACATTTTCAGTATCTAGATCATCGAAGAAGAGGTGTAACAGGAGAAGAGCGATTCTGCGAATAGCGCATCTCTGTGAGGAAGACGAGAATCACGCATAAGTTTCATGCGTGAATCTCTTTCTTGCGCGATAGAGGTTGTGCGTGAAACTTAGGCTTGAAGTCCTCCGTGCGCCATTCGCTAAAACACTCAGTGCGCCATTCGCTAAAACACTTCGTGCGCCATTTCAGAAGACTTGTGCGCCATTCAAAACAAAAGCTCCTAGCGCCATTTCAAAAGCTTGGTGCGCCATTCTCCGTGCGCCATTCAACATTCTCCGTGTGCCATTCAACATTCTCCCATGCGCCATTTACACTCGTGCACCATTCAAAGCAGAACTACATGCGCCATTCTTTAGGTGAGCCATTCACCGTGCGCTATTCTCCGTGCGACATTCTCAAACAGTTAAGGCCACTAGTGCATGAACCTACTGCTTGAAGGACTTTACAAACAAAAAAAGAACCTAATCAATCAACAGATCAGCCCGATCCAGTACAAGATGGATTCTCTTTCAATTGGAAACAACACTAGACCCCCGATCCTAAGAAGAGGTGAGTACAATGTATGGAAGAACATGTGATCCTTAACTTTCTTGAAAGCAAAGACCAATCATCTGGACTACTTGACTCGATCACCAATGGACCTGCTCAACTGTTGATATCTATTGATAGAAATGATGAGAACAATCCACCTCTTGAAGTTGAACTACGACCTAAGAATGTTGATGATGAAGATCGAGCAAGAATCCATGTTGACTTACTCGCAAAGACCTACCTGCTCCAAGCTATCCCGAACGACATCTACATGCAAATTGATAGCATGTCAACTGCAAAAGAGATGTGGGACGAAATCTTCAAAATTATGCAAGGAACTGAAATAGGAGTCAAAGCGGAGAAAGCAAGCACATTCACAGCCTATGACTCATTCAAAGCAAAGCTAGGAGAATCTCTCGAAGACACCTATCTCAGGTTCCTACAACTGATCAATGAAATGAGAAAGATTGGAGTTCACAAATAAAATATGGAGCTGAATGTGAGGTTTCCGTCGGCACTAGGACCGGATTGGAGAAGGCTATGCTCTCAGATCAGGCATACAAAAGATCTTGATGATACGGACATCCATGCCGTATACAACACATTTGACCAATATGCTGAAGATTTTTCTGACTATGTTCACACAATTGTGATGGCTGAGAAAGGAAAGGATGCCGTTGACAAATTGGCTCATACTCTTGCACTGATGCTTGACAAACCTTCCAAATCTGGCTCAAGGAAGGATAAAATGAAAGCTGAAGAAATTGATAGTGCTGATAGTGACATCGGTTTCTAGGATGAAACTGATAATGATGATGAACTACATGAGTTTCAAAAGCAGATATCACTTCTTACTTCCAGGTTTAACAACTAGATGCTAAAGAAGAACACGTCCTCTAATAAGCTCCGAAAATCCTCTACCGGCACAAAAAAGAAAGGAACATCCCTTTGAATCAAATGAGAGTGCAAATGCCGAGGATGCTCCCAAATGCTTCAACTGCGGGAAAACGGGACATCTAATCAAGGATTGCAGGATGCCAAAGAGAAGAAAGGATGTTGAGTACTATAAGCAAAAGATAAACCTGAATAAGAAAAAGATGCTGCTAGAAATGGAGGAAGGCAGTGAGAAAAGCGCCCTCATGGCCGAGAAAGATCACTGGATGGATGATTCAGATGATGATGAGAACATTGCGTTGATGGTCATTGTTGAAAATGAAGAAGAGAAGACCACTGCAGCTGATGAGGATGCAAACCTGACCAACCCTTCTGTTGCTGAATTAATGACTGCCCCTGATGCTGAAAAAGGAAAACCGACTGCTCTTTCTGCTGAGAACCTGGATGCTGAGTGTGAGGTAAGTACTTCTAACTCCCTAAATTCAACATGTTCTAA